TAAATTTTATTTCTTTTTTCCTTCCTTTTAATATTACGCGCTTCCCTGGCTGCGTTATGGGAAACTGCCGGGGGGATGTAACGACTCCCCAGCCGCTCGGCCGCAGCCTCCCCCGACGCTTTGCTGCTGCAGAGCAAGACCTGCGCTTGGCCCTGCGCTCGGCGCTGCGGCCGGGGAGCCCCTCGCCATGGGCGCGTTGGAAAGCTGTACACGGCGGGGGGGGTGGAACAGGAGCGGCAAATACCAGAAGCAACTGCAGGGTCTTTTTCCCCTCCCAGAGCCAGCCCTCGCTGCGGGACCCCGCGGCGGGTGGGACCAACCCATGGTGGCTGCCCCTGGGCAGCAGAGCTGCGTCCCTGAGGGGACCGGCAGCTTCGGCCAGCGCAGGTGTCACAGAGCACCCACACCACGTGGGATGCTGCGCAGAAACTCGCCCTTTTAAGACTTTTAGGATTAGGGGGTGGGGGGGTGACTTTAGAGGTGCTGGTCCAGCTGCGTGGCTGCTGCTGCTGGTTTTCTCCCTGCTCAGCCCTTAACTAGGTGTTAAACTGTCCCTACCGCATTAAATCCAGCTGTGAAACAGGGGTGAGGCCAGGCAGGGCTGAAGAAACCTGAGCTCCGAGCCCCCGTGCGCCAGCTCTGGCTCCCTGGCTGGAGACCTGCTTCCCCATGGCACCGCTCCAGGGGTTCAGGCTTCGTGCAGACAAGCCCCTTTCGTCCTTCGTCCTGGCCCTTGCCATCAGAGAGAGAGAGAGAGAGAGGAGAGAGAGAGAGAGAGAGAGAGAGAGAGAGAGAGAGAGAAGAGAGAGAGAGAAAGAGAGAAGATAAGTGACATGTCTTTTAATCCCAGCAAAACAGCCTGAATCGAAACCCAAAAAGAGAAGGACCAAAAAAAACCCCCCCAAAAAACAGTATTTATAATTAGCCCAGCTACTTAACAGTGACAACTGACATGCTGGAAACAGTAGCCAGAAATATTTTAGCATCAAGAAGGGCTAATAGCCTTGAAATAGCCTGATCGATTGCCTGCCGGGCTGCGCTGGTGTGGGGAGGTGCCTGTCCAGGATAGCAGCGGGGGGATAAATCACACAGCCCCTTGCAAAGCCCCAGTGGCCTTTGCTGCCCGGGCATGTCACCGGGGGTGGCACTGCCATCACCGGGGGTGGCAACGCCCCGCGAGGCTGCGCCAGCCCCAGCTCAGGGCTGAGGGACGCTGGGGGACCAGCCCGGCTTTTTTTTTGTAATTTATTTTTCTGCACTTGCGTTGCTAAGGTTGGTGCTGCAGCCCCCGGGTCCCATTAAGCCGGTGGCAGGAGTGGCGGTGATTGAAATACCTGTTACTGCCAGAAAGCAATTCTGAAAGTGAATACAGGAATTAATTACAAATAATTGCCTCCTCGCCGCGCTGGGAGCAGGGCGTGCTTGGCGTGAGCCGACAGCAGCCCTCGCCGGCCGGCGCAAGGGCAGCCGCAGCATCCCTCTGTGGCCGAAAGCTTTGCAGCCCAGCGCTGGGACGCCCTGACACTCGCTCTGCCGTCGCCTCTCGTCGTGCTGCTGAGCAAAGCCCGTGGAGAAGGAGCTGCTGCCCCCGCAAAAGCCGCCCTCGAAGAAAAGTCAGCAGGAAAACTGCTGGAAGCCGCCCAAGCCAGTGGCCAGCACCCGGCTGCCGCTGAATTTGAGAGCTGTGTTGGTGTCCTACTGTAGGAAAACCACCACCGCGGGGAGGGAGACAAGCGTGACCCCCCCAAACCACCTGCTCCATTCCTGCAGACCCCCAAATCCCGGCGGGGTTGACCTCTGCTACCAGCTGCCCCGAGGACACGGGGTGTGGGGGCTCCCCCCTGTAGCGGAACGGCACCTGCAGCACCAGCTGGGGACGGTCCCCATGTAGGGCACCCGTCACCCCGGCTGTGTGGGCCAAGAGAAGATAAAAGCCTGGTGTGAAAGGGTACCCCCCTGCACGTGGCACCAGGAGAGGACAACGGGGTGGAACGCTTCTCTTCCTCTCCTCTTCTCTCGAATCAGTGGCCACCACCCAGCTTTTGGTGCCCATTTCCCTGCAATGCCAAAGCCGCAGCGCTGGCGCAGGTCAGCCTGTCCTTGCACAGGGGACAGCCCCAGGCAGGGTGGCCGGGGGGCCGCATGCCCGTCCCCAGGCAGCACCGTGGAGCTCGCTGGGCTCACTGCAGCCTCCCACCCTGCATATTTCTCACAGGGGGACTTGCGAGAAATGGAATTGATCTCTATCAAAAAAAAAAACCAAACCCAAAACCTCCCCAAAAAGGGTTCAGGACAAGGAGGGGGGGTTTGGACTGAAATTAAACAGACAAAATAATGAATACATTTAGTTTTTATAATCTTCTTTGCTGATGGCGGGGGAGGTAGCAGTCATCCCCAGGCCAGGGGCTGGGCAGCCAGAGGTTTAGGCAAGACTTTGGTTTCTTCCTCGCCAGAGGAAGGACAACGTGGGGAGACAGACTCGGCCCCATGAGGAGAGGGCAGAACGTCTTCCCCAGTGGACCATCCAGCGTGAGGAGGACCTCAAAGGAGGTTCATGGGGGAAGGGGACCTGAGCCTATAGGAAAGGGAGGAGAAGGTGCAGCTGGAAGAGGTGGGTGAAGGGAGATGCCCAGCCCAGCACAGAAAGGAGAGCGTGCTGTACTTCATGGATGAAAAACCCTTGGCTGGCCAGCCTCAACCCCTAGAGATCTTCCTGGAAGCCATTTCCAAAGCCAAGAACAATGCAAGCGGAAAAACTCAATGGTTTGTTGCAGGGCAAAGCGTGCTTCACCGGCTGGTCAGCCCCCGTGACGGAAGGAGCGGGTCCGTGGCTGTACCACACCAGGGCTTCGATAGATGTTTTGACCCCCAGACCACTGGGACGTGGCTGGCCTCCAAGCAGAGAGGGGCTGCAGGAGAGCTCCCACGGTGGAGCTACATGACCTACACAGAGGGGGTGGTGG